AATGACATTTTTTTTATTTTTGGTGACATTAAAATTGCAAAATAGAATCTTTGTCTGCTTTAACTCTTATAGACACTGCTATTCAGTAATTGTTGATGTTAAAAAAAAGTACTGGAAATTTGATAAAATTACTTACAAGTTTTAAATTATAAAAAAATTATATTTCACCTTTTTTTTTTTTTGAGACAGTGTCTCCCTGTAGTCCCAGCTGGCATGGAACTCAGAGAGATCCAAATGCCTTTGCTTCCTGCGATGAAAGGTGTGTGCCACCACTCCTGGCTATGTAACATTAAAATTGAATATAACTTTGTGGTTCAGCTTATGTTTAAGAAGCATTGCAGGGGCTGGAGAGATGGCTCAGTGATTAAGAACACTGGCTGTTCTTGCAGAAGACTGGGTTCGATTCTTAGCACCCACATGGCAGCTAACAACTGTCTCTAACTCCAGTTCCAGAGGATCTGACAGCCTCTTCTGTCCTCCATGGGCATTGCACAACACGGGCGCACTTACCTGCATACAAGCAATACACGCATACACATAAAATAAAAATAATAATAAAAAAAAGAAGAAGCATTGCAAACCCAGTATGCTAGTGCACATTTATAACCCCAGCACTTGGGAAACAGAGGCAGGAGGATTGTAAATTTGAGATCAGTTGTGGGCTACGTAACAACCTTGTCTTTGAAAACAACTACAACAACAGAACCAAATCAAATATATTTGTTATGTGATACAATTATACATTTTTGTTTTTAGTTTATTTCTTTTCATGATTTAAAACAAAAGTTTGTTAAATCCTTTTTTTAAGATTCCTATTCTTCGGAGTATTTTGTTACACGTATTTTTGTTTTCTTTCATGAGGAATTCATGCTTTTTGATAATTTAGGAGTTTAATTAGTTAATTAATTAATGTGTATGGGGTGGATGGCACATGTGTAGAGGCCAGAGGACAGCTTGCAGGAGTCAGTTCTTTCCTTCCACTATGTGGGGCCCTGGTGTTAAACTCAGGTCATCAGGCTTGGCAAGTGTTCTTACCAGCTGAGCCATTTTACTGCCCAACTTTTTTAAAAAAATGACCACTTAAATGACCTATTCTTTAGTAGATGGGAGCATAATTGAATGAGGCTCCCTGCTGTTAATAGAGAAGAGACAGGGAACTGGGAAGGGAACAGCCGTAATCATGATTTCTAGGCTAACTTCTTGTTTTCGTTTTGTGAGGGGAACAGAGTCTTACTATGTAGCTCACCACGAACTCATGGTCTTGCCTCCGTCTTCTGAGTGCTGGGATTGTAGTCACCACTATGCCTGGCACTTCTCTAGTTTTGTGGGCACCTATTTTCTTGATTACCTACACATTGTTAGATAAATACTATTGAGAGTTCATGTTTTAAAACTTTATAGTTAAGGTCACCATTTGAAGTTGAAATGGTAAAATGTATTTGATGGTAATCTCAAGTATTTACTTTTAGATTCAAGCCTATTAGCAACAACAGTGCCAGTTCTTGCTTAATTAATTCTCTTTAGGAATTCAATTAAATATCTCTTGTAAATTTTTTTAAAAATTTATTTATTTATTTTTTGTGTATGAGTACATTGCCTGTATGTATGTAAGTGCACCTATATCTTGCAACGCCTGCAGAGGACAGAAGAGGGCACTGGATCCCCGGGAACTGGAGTTACACATGGTTGTTAGCTGCCATGTGGGTGCAGGAATTCCAGCCCAGGTTTCTACAAGAACAACCAGTGCTCTTAACTGCTGAGCCCTCTTGTAAATATTTTAAGATTTTTTTTTCCCCCCAAAGGTTCTTCATAGTTATTAGTGAACTAATCAACTGCCTCATGTAGAATGTATAAAAAGCAAATCAGATTCCCTATCACACATCAGTCTCCTGACCTGGAAGTGTTTGACTCCATCTGGTAGGACTGATGACTGACTGTGATTTACCATGAGTAGTGGTGCCATGTGTGTGAATCCTTACAGACCCAGCTTCTCCTCCACTGTTTTGTCTTGGGAGATTTCACCCTAATCCACAGGGAAATGGGACAATTTTGCTTTTGTTTCTTGGCCAGGAATCACTTTATTTTAAAAGTTTTGTGAGAAGACATGGCAGGAAACTGAGACAAGCACACATTATTTTAAGAATTTTGGAGCTAGAGAGATGGCTCAGTGGTTAAGAACACTGTTCTTGCAGAAAACCCAGGTTTGAATCCCAGTACCCACATGGCAGCTAACAACTGTTTGTAACTCCAGTTCCAGGGGATCCAACAGTCTCTTCTGTCCTATGCAGGCATTGCATGACACGGGTGCACTTACCTACATGCAGGCAATACACGTATACACATAAAATAAAAATAAATAAAAACAAAAAGAATTTTTAATATGGGGGCTGGAGAGATGGCTTAGTGGTTAAGTACTGACTGCTCCTGCAGAGGACCCAGGTTTGAATCCCAGCACCCATATGGCAGCTAACCACTGTATATAACTCCACTTCCAGGGGATACGATGCCCTCTTCTGACCTCCCTGAGCATTGCATGACACAGGTGTACTTACATACATGCAGAAAATACACCACATAAAATAATAAAAATAATAAATAAAATATTTTAAAAATAATTTTTAATATGGGCTGGTGAGATGGCTCAGGAGGTAAAGGCACCTCCTGCCAGGTCTGATGACTTGAGTTCGACCCCCAAGATCTGCATGGTGGGAGGAGAGAACTCACTCCTGCAGTTTATCCTCGGACCTCCATATGTACACCATGGCACACAAGCCCACACACAAATAAATAAATAAATAAATAATAGTAATAAAAAGAATTTTTAATTCTTAGAAATACTTTTGGGTAGAGAGATGGCTCAGTGGTTAGGAACAAATACTGCTCTTGCAGAGGACCAACGTTCAGTTCCCAGCACCTACAGCAGGTGGCTCATAACTGCCTTTAACTCCAGGGGATCTGATGTCCTTTTCTGGCTTCCATGGGCAGTGCACTCACTCAGCTGCACATACCCCCCCCAAACATATAAATAAAAATAAAATAAAATCTTTAGGATCTAGAGAGATGGCTCACTGCTTAAGAGCAGTTGCTACTCCTGCAAAGGACTCAAATTTGGTTCTCAGCACCCACAAGGTGGCTCATAACCATCCTTAATTCCATTTCTGGGGGATCCAATACCCTCTTCTGGCCTCCATGGGCACAAGGATTACACATGGTGCACATACATGCAGGTAAAACACACATACACATAACAATATATAATAAATCTTTTAAAATGTATTTTAAAAGCTCGACTTTCTTTGTTCTTAGGCAGGACAGAAGCTCTATCTTTCCCTTCACTTAGTCCACTGCTACCTCATTGGTATTTGCAACAAGTAGTTTTGTATCATGATGTAAAAAAATGGAACTGTCGATGGGCGTGGTGGTGAATGCCTTTAATCCCAGGACTCCGGAGGCAGAGGCAGGCCGATCTCTTTGAGTTCAAGGCCAGTCTGGTCTACATAGTGAGTTCCAGGCCAGCTGGGACTACAGAAAGACCGAAAAATAAAAATTGTAAATGAGGTCAGATTCCTTTTCAGTCAAGGCTGTCCTTGAAAATAGATGTTTGAGAAATTGGACAGCTTCTCATTACTAATTGAAAAATCATCCAGGATGCTCACTTTTTAAACTCTGCCATTCCTAGTTTAGAAGAAGAGTGTGAATCTTCTCTCTGTACATCTGCATTAAGAGCCAGGAACCTCGAGCTGTCCCAGGACATGAGGAGGATGACAGCTGTGTTTGAGAAGCTGCAGACTTATATCGCTCTCCTTGCCTTGCCAAGTAAGTGAGGTTGCTGCTTTTCACTCAGTACCGGAGGCTGGAAAGGGCCATCGCTTAGTTTGGTAGAGTGAGGGAACATAGGATCTGAGTCAGGAAAGCTTGAATTCAAATTCTCTAACCCCTGGGCTGGAGTTAGTGGAACTAAGGAGTAAATGGAGTTAGATGTTGTATTAAGGTAAAATATTAGGCATTAACCATGCATTAAATAGTAGTTCCTTTTATCTCCTTCCTCTCTTTAAGTGGAGAGGGACGAATTACAACCTCTTGTAACTTTCCAACAAGTAGCATTTGGGAAATTTAAAGGTGCCATTTGTTTTCTTTTGGCCTAATTTGAAAAAAGTACTTTTAGGTAATTGAATGGACACAGTTTCAGTGATGTTTTTAAGAACACCATGATTTTAGCTGGGCCTGGTGGCACACATTGTATTCCCAGGACTCAGGAAGCTGAGTCAAGAGTATTCTAAGTTCAAGGCCAGCCTGGGCTACAAAGCAAGATTTGGTATAAAAATCAGTCACAAATGATTTTTTTCTGTTGTAGCATATAACTGATAGGATAAGAAAAACACTTTTTTCCTCATGCTTTCAATTACATACTATACATTTTACCATTTTAAAGTACAAATCAATAGCTTTTAGTATATTCATAGATGTGTGCTGTTGCCCTCCTATTTCTCATTCCACTGTCCTTGACGCCAAGTAGCCTGTTACTTACTTTATGGCTGTAGATTTGCCAGTTCTAGGCACAATTTAAATGGAATCATTATATAGTCATGTATGTCTACTTTCTTTCTCTAAATAAAGATTACAAGATTCATGCAAATTGTAAAATTCATACTTCATTCTTTTTTATTACAGAAGACTATTTCATTGTATGGATGTACCAAATATTGATTATGCAGTCACCTGGAAATTTGGGTTGTCTATTAAAAATAATGATGCTGGGGGCTGGAGAGATGGTTCAGCAGTTAAGAGCACTAGCTGCTCTTATAGAGGACCCAGATTTGGTTTCCAGCACCCACATGATGCCTAACAACCATCCAGGGGATCCAGTGCCCTCTTCTGGTCTCTGGGGGCATTGCATGACACAGGTGCACATACATGCTTGGCAGGAGAAACACATTAAAAAAAAATGATTCTGTAGACATTCATGAATAAGGTTTTGTGTTGATGTATCTTTTCTTTTGGGTCTGTACCTAGGGGTAGAATTGCTGGATCATATAGTCACTATGTTTACCTATTTGAAGAATTGCCAAGACTGTTTTCCAGAGTACTGTTTTTGTTTTCCTACCAAAAACATGTGAGAGTTTAATTTTTCCACAACCTCACTAACATTTGTGGTTATCAGACTTTGGTTTTAACCATGCTGGTAGGTATAAAATAGAATCTCACTGTGGTTTTGATTTGCCCTTCCCTGCTATCTAACAGTGCCAAAGGTCTCTTCATGTGTTTATTGGCCACTTGCATATTTTCTTTGGTTAAACACCTATTTGCATCTCTTCTTCATTTTTCAGTTCTGTTGTCTTTTTACTACTGAGATTGATGTTCTCCCTTAGCAGCTTGCATAATGTTCTCCAAAGCTAGGAAAGCTAGCCTTCAGGGAGGAGCTTCCAGGTCAGTTTCAGCTCCACTGCACCAAGTTGTGTGTCTGAAGTAGTATGTTCTGCCTTCAGCAGTAGGGTCTTACCTTCAAGATCTGGGAGCCAATCAAGGGCTGTGGCAATAGGTTATGTAAATTTGGGAGTCTCTTGGACTAACCTGACCAACAACTCAAAGGGAGATTTCTCCTGTCTGGCACTGTTTTTGTTAAATAGCTTTCAGCCATACACAGGGATTCATGTAGAGATGTTGTATGTGTAATTTTTCAGTAGGTTTTTGAACTAGTATGATTTCCTTTGTTTTTTCCTTTGTTTCTCTCCCCGTTTAACCTTCTTCCTCCCTCCCCATTTTCCCCATTTCTCCCTTGATAATACCTATTTCCTATGGTCCTCCCTCTCTTGATCAATTCTAAACTTATGAAAACTTGCATATTTTCTTCCAAGAGTTTTAAATATTACATTTAGGTCTTTGATCCATTTTGAGTTCATTTTTGTACATGGTATAAGATAAGGGTCTTGCTTCATCTTTTGCTTGTGTCTCTCTAGCATCTCAGCCCCATTTGTTGAAAGTCAATTCTTTGTCAAATGGTTTTGGCACGCTCTTTGAAAGTCAGTGCACAATTGATTTATTACTGTATTTTCTGTACTGTTTCCTGGATCTGCATCTCTCCTATGCTGGTGACACTATTTTGAAGACTGTTGCTTTGTAGTACATTTTGAGATCAGAAGTGTGAATCCACCTACTTCTTTTTCAATATTGTTTTTGGTGTTCAGGATCCCTTGTAATCGCATATGAATTTTAGAATAAGCTTGTCACTTTCAATAATGAAGTCAGCTAGGATTCTGGGGTTGAATTATATCTATAGATCAGTGTGAACCAGGGAGTGAGTTGAATTGAGACCCCCTGAAAGACACATGATGTTCCAAACCTCAGTGCTTCTCTGTAGGGCCTTATTTGGAAATACGGTCTCTGATAATGCACTCAAGTTAAGGTGAAGTGATAGTGGATAGGAAGAGCCCAAACGCAGTGACTGGTATCCTTATAAGGAGAGAGATTTGGACAGATGGAGGCACAAGGAGTCATAAAGACAGAGGAAGCACCAGGGTTATGCTGCAACCTATTAAGGAACACTTAGGCCAGAAGGATCTGGAAAGAGGCAAGAAAGAATTCTCCCTAGACTCATTGAAGGGATGTTGGCCCTGCCAAAACCTTGATTTTTGGATTTCTGAAATCCAGAACTGTGAGAGAGTAAATTTCTTTCTTTCTTTCTTTTTTTTTAAAGTTTTTTTTTTTTTTTCCTTATTGCAGCTGGTTTGTTTGTTTGTTTGTTTGTTTGTTTGTTTGAAGCAGGGTCTCCCTGTAGCCCCAGCTGTCCTGGAACTCACTATGTAGACCAGGTTGGCCTTGAACTCACAGAGATCCGCCTGCCTCTGCCTCCCAAGTGCTGGGACTACAGGCATGCGCCACCACGCCCGGCTAAATTTCTTTTTTTAACATACTCATCTGTGGTACTTTGTCACAGTAGCCCTAGGAAACATACAGTGGGTGTTCCCCTCTTAACAAGTCTTCTGATCCATGAACATGGTATGTTTTCCCACCTGTGTATGTGCTTAGTTTCTTTAAGCACTATTATCAAGTTTTCAGAGCCTGGGATTTATACCCTAATGCTGTTTCTCAGAGGCTTCAGCCTTGGTATGTGCACAGTCACCCTGGGATGGCAGTGCCTTGGCAGGGCCCTCCTTGTGTTAGTTAGACCTTGGTTTAAGCACCTCAGCTTGCTGGCTAATTGCTCGGGGTTTTTTTCAAAGGCCTCAGAGAATAAATTGCTCACAGGCTGATCCCATTAAATACAGACTTCTTTAGAATTTAACATACAACTAGCAGGTAAAAATTTTGGTTGGTGTTTGTGATTTCCAACCCCAGGAGGGCTCTTAGTTGCTTCTTTTCCCCATGGTAAGCTTGTCTACAGTTTAGCTTATGTCCCTGACAAACCTGTCACTTTTTCCTTTGTGCTTTCACCACAATTTTATTTGTTTATTTATTGAGATCCTTAGGCTTGAACTGCTCCATATATTATTACAAGTGAAATCAGTTCTTTAGAGAAGACTCAGAGCTGCTGTGTAAGGCCTGCTTCTTCCTAGAGCTAAACCTCTAAGCCACAGATCTGGTGCTGGGGACAGTTGTTTTGAAGCAGCATCTGGTCTTTTGGGCCTGATGGAACTCAGTGTGGAACTCAGTCAATAAGCTAAGGCAAGGATGGCCAGGGCGTACTTGTTCAGGGGTGGCCTGTAGATGAAAGAACAGACTTCTCCCCACTTCTTGGCCACACCAGACCAGAATGCAATCTTAGCAGCAGGTCACAGGGGAAAGATAGGAAGTCCAGCCATGCTGAGAGATGGATGAGACAGTCGTGTGTACTGGGCTGCGCCTGCTGGGAGTGGGGATCTGTTGGGCTGAGCTAGTAGGGGAGAGAGGAGCATCGGTTCACTCTTACCACCGTGTCTGTGTGTGTGTACGACTGTGTATGCATTTGCCTGTGTGATATACGTGAATGTGTGTCTGTGTGCCTATGCAGAGGCCAGAACAGGGTGTTGAGTGTCCTCCTTTATCACAGTCTACTTTCTTTCCTTTAAGATTTTTTTTGGTTTATTTTTATTTTATTTATTTATTTATTTATTTATTTATTTAATTTTTGGTATTTTTGAGATGGGTCTCTCCATAGCCCCAACTGGCTTGGAACTTGCTCTGTAGACCAGGTTGGTCTCGAACTCACAGAGATCCACCTGCCTCTGCCTCCTGAGTGCTGGGATTAAAGGCATGCACCACCATGCCCGGCAGTTTATTTTTATTTTTAATGTTATATATATTAATGTCTGTGTGTGGGTGTGTGCACATGAGTGCAGGTGCCCAAGGAAGCCAAACTGGAGTTACAGGCAGTTGTGAACAACCTGATGGGGTTGCTGGGAATTGAACTTGGGTCCTCTGGAATAGGAGTACATGCTCTTAACCACTGAGCTATCTCTTCAGCTCTCTTTCCTTTTTAAAGGTTTTGTTTTTATTTTATGCATATGAGTGTTTTACCTGTATATATGTATGTGCACCATGTTCTTGGTGCCTGTGAAGGCCAAAAGAGGGCATTGGAGCTCCTGGATTTGGAGTTACAGATGGTTGTTGACCACCATGTAGGTGCTGGAAACCTAACTTGGCTCCTTTGCAAGAGCAGCCAATACTCTAACCACTGAGGCATCTCTCCAGCCCTCACTTTACAGGATCTCTCCCTGAATCTGGAGTCCTTGGTTTTTGTCTAGGCTGGCAACCAGTAAGCACTAGCAATTCTTCTGTCCCTACCTCCTGTAGTGCTAGGGTTGCAGATGGTGTGCGATTACCCCGATTTATTACGTGGTACTGGGATCTAAGCTCAGGTCCTCATGGTTGTGCAGCAGGTACTGTTAGCCCCTGAGCCATCTCTCTAGCCCCTGGCTTTCTAGAATAAGTGCTTCTTTGTTGTATGTCCTACAACCATTTCCAAAAGCTTTAAACTATTGTGGGCTTTTTGTTTTTGCAGTCATCACCAGTTTGCGTGGCGAGCAGATTTGCAGAGCTCCTCATGCTGTTAGACCAGAACTAGAACTTATCTGGTAGTGTTTCAGTCATGTTCAGCAAAAAGTAATGTAGGAGTGAAAGAGAGAGAAAAATGTAGCAGCCAGATGAAAATTCACAAAGGCTTTCATTTCAGAGAGTCATCAAAGGCTTATTCCTGTTGAGAAAATTAGTTTTGATTTTTTAAAACATTTTTTGTGTGTGTGCGCGTGCATGCATGCACATGTATGTGTGCATGCGCACGCACTCGTGCCACATGGTGCACTTGGAGGTCAGAGGACAACTTTTGGGAGCTGGGTTTCTTTCCTTCTGCTATGTGGGTTACAGGAATCAAGCTCAGGGTTGGTGGGGAGTGTGTTTAACCACCTTTACCACTGAGCCATCTCGTTGGCCCTAATTTAGATTCCTAACCATTAAAATTGCATGCCTGAGAGATTTTATTCATTAGATATGCCTGTGTTTATTACCATTATATCCCAATATTGCAAAGGTTTTAAAAGCTACTTATTTTCAACATAGTGCAAGCGTTGTTATTCTCTGTCATTTCCAAAATGGGGAGATGGTGGGCAGTCAACTTTTGCTTAGCTATGACTTTGGTTTCCTAGGTACTGAGCCAGATGGACTCCTTCGGACAAACTTCAGTTCCGTCCTAACAAATGTCAGTGCTGCTCTGCATGGCTTTCATGATGTCATGAAAGGTGAGCCTTGAAGAAGATTCCAAGTCAGCTGAAAACCTTGTTTCTCAGATGTGCCTGAATGGAGTTTAAACAAACACTGCCCAGGGTTAGAGAAAAGGGCTGAGTGGCATTTGGCTGACTTGAAAGTGCAAAGTTCCTGCCTGCTGTTCTTCCCACCTGCTTCCTTTCTGAAGGTAGACAGTGCTGAAGGAAAACCCTAGTGCACAGTTGTTAAGCCTGCTGTGTATGCAGGTTAGAGCCCAGTGTGGAGCAACTGAGGAAACCAAGGCTGGTGTCTCCAGAAAAATTAGGTCGACTTCCCATTCTGTGTGTTTTTGTTTATTCCCCCCCCCCCCCGCCTTTTGAGACCCAGTCTCATTATGTAGTTTTGGCTGCTTGGAACTCTCTTTATAAACCAGGCTGGCCTCAAACTTTCAGTGATTTTCCTGTCTCTGCCTCTAGAATGCTAGAATTATAGGCACTCACCCCCCAGCAGTAATCGCTTTCACCTAGCATCCATTTTTTTTTTCTTCAGTGCTGGGGATTGAACCCAAGGCCTTGTACATGGTGGGCAAGTGTTCTACCACTGAGGTAGGGATGAATGCCTAGCCCACATTTTGGTATTTATTTAAAACATGTTTTAAATATTGCCTTGTTGAGCTTAGCCTTAAGAAATGAAAGTCTTGGGGCTGGAGAGATGGCTCAGCCCTTAAAAACTCTGGCTGCTCTTGCAGAGGACCTGGATTCAGTTCCCAGTACCCACATGGTGACTAAAACTGTCGTTGCTCCAGTTCCAGGGGATCTCACGCCTTCTTCTGACCTCTGCAGACATTGCGTACATATTGTGTACTTATATACATGCAGGCAAAACACTCATACACATAAAGTAAAAATAAAAATATTAAAAGACAAAAGTCTATTTTAAAGTCTTGCTCAATTTTCAATGAATTCTCTGCTCCTAAGAATATAGTTAGTCAAAGAGCTGAGGGAAATCTTTTAAGGTATTTCCCATGCTTAGCATGTGATTCTGAGCCCTAAGCAATCCATAGCTCTGTGATGTTCCTAAATGCCCTGCCTCCCATTTCTTTTTATTTTTGAGACTGCTGGAGTTAGGGAAGAAGAAGCAAGAGCCTTCTGAAGGACTGTGGGGTAACAAAAGAAGAGGCGGGGGCCAATCTGAAGGATTGTGGGGCTAGAGAAGAAGAGGGGGGAGATCTGAAGGGCTGTTGGGGTTAGGAAGAACAGGCAGGGGCTATCTGAAGGACTGTTGGGGTAAAAGAAGAACGGGTGGAGCCGATCTGAAGGACTGTTGCAAGCAGCTCAGTTGCCTGGATGAGTAATTGCAATGTTAACAGTTACTGACTAGTTTTACAGGAAATAATTATTTAAATGTAAAGCTGTTTTATATAACTTGTGTAGGAGGGGTATATTTGGTGCCCTCCTTTAGACTGACACATCATAATAACTTGATTTTATTTATATTGATATTTAATTCATCAATTACATACAAAGTGCTCTAAAATATCCACATGCTTTTGTTTGTATGTAATACCAGATGAAGATGCTGCTGAGTGGGCCAAGTCCAAGTATCTTAGGAGTATTGTTTGGTAAGAGCCAGTGGAGGTGGTCAGATGCCTCCTTGGCCTTTTTTGCTGCCAATTATTTCTTCCCTTTCACTTACTTATTTATTTTTAAATTTAGTGTACAAAATAACAGGCTTCATTTTTAAAACTTGTTTCTGTTCTTGCAAATGAATAGCAAATGGAAAGAATACTGAAAACATGAAGGCTGCTGAGAAGCAGATTCCATGACAATGCAATGTTGCTAGGTTACAGAGCAGCTCTGTCTCTATGGGAAGACTCTTGTGTCTCTCGTGAGAACTCAGAGTGAATATTAACTGGCATTTGCTGAAGAATCTGTTGTTGTTCAGGCTAGGGATTTTTGTTTGTTTGTTTGTTTGTTTTGGTCAGAATCTCACTCTATAGCCTAATTTGGCCTCAAACTTGTGATCTTCCTGGTTCAGCCTCCCAAGTATTAGAATTACAGGCATGTACCATAATGCCTGGTGGCATCTTTGTTATTTACTTATTTAGGTTTTTTTGAGGCAGGGTCTCCCTGTACCCCCAGCTGGTCTAGAACTCCTTATATAGACCAGACTGGCCTCCATCTCATAGAGATCTGCCTGCCTCTGCCTTCCCAGGGGTGGGATTAAATGTGTGTACCACTGTGCCTGATACATCTTTTTTTTTTTTAATTATTTAATAACCACATGATTAGAAGCATTTCATTACAGCGTTAACATATTCAATAACAATTTCCAGAGCAAAGATGCTTCTCTTTCAAAATTAGCTGTAAATTTTGAGGTTCACAGTTAAATAATACAGTTATACAATATTGAACTCAGTATAACCCTTATAAGACATAAAATTGATGAGGTTTTAACCTTTAAAAAAGATCTCCATTTCATTATTAAAATACACAGTTTCAAGATCGGAAG